TAATAGGCTTTGCAGCAATCTAAAGCGCTACCAGCACTCGCATATCAGATAAACCCAGTAAACGCAAATAAAGTCTGTTTTGATGACCGTACAACAGATAGGATCCTGAATGCCTCGCTCTCCCCCCCGCCTGTCCTCACACACCCTCTCTCTCTCTTTCTCCCCATCAGAAGCCCGTCTCCCTCCTCCCGCCCTCCCTGAGCCCCAGTCCTCTATTGAGGAGACAATGGGGTCTTTCTCCTTCTTCAGCGCGTCTCCGTGTCGCGGACCCTGGGAACTCCGCGAAGCCTCTTAAAGGAACAGCACCCCCCCCGATGGGGGCTGGGGGTCTTCGGGCCAGCACGGCCCTCCTCACTTCACACACCCTGCGGATCAGACGGGCCTGCGGGCGTGACCTCCTGGCCTCCCCGGGGTCCGAGGAGGAGCACGGGGGGGTCGAGGTGGGGAGGGCGCGGCAGAGGTCCAGGTGTGATCCCAGTGTGATACCGCTCCAAGCACAGATGTTCCCTACCCCCACCCCTCTCTGTGCACAGACGTGCCCTCTGTCTCATTCAGTGGTCAGTTGGAGACGGACAGAAATGCGAGCTGCCCCTTATCTTCTGGTTTAGCGCGTGACATCGCCGCCCCGCGGCCGCGGATCAATCCCGTCAGAAGCCCGCCGGGCTGTGACGTCACGCAGCCTCACGGCTCACACGGGCGACCGGAGACGGAGCCTTAATCGCTCTGTGCTGAAGTAAGGGTTTACTCAGCCAGCAAGCGCAATTACCCCCCAAAACTCCGCCGTTCCCCCCACCCACCCACCCGCTCGTTCACACCTGAAACCCGGGGCACTGCCATGCGTGTGCGGACAGGGACAACTGGAAATTCCACTTTCTAAGGAGGAAAAAAAAAATCACGAGAGACGAACTGCAAACTTCTGACTATTCCCAGGCGTAATGGCTGCCAGAATCCCCAGTCTTGGAGTCTGCAGTCCAGCGTAGGGAACACACAGAGCACACAACCACCTCATCCCTGACACCCAGACCCCTGGACAGACGGGTACACACAGCGCGCAAATTACAACTGAAAATGCTTCGCCATTACTAAAAATAAACTCAAGAGCACACTGTAAGCGTCTAAAACAACAACAACAACAACAACAACAACAACTCCTCTCTCGATGGAAAAGTGACACTGACTGTGAAGACTTAACATACTGTACTGTCGCTGTTCACTTACTCCGCGGCCAGGCCACGGGGATGGACAAGGCAGCGAGAGGGAGGGGGGCTCGATGGAGGGAGGGCGGAGGATGTGGGGAGAGAGGGTGGAGAGGGGCCGAGTGAAGGAATCTTGAGTTTTGTTTGAAGAAAAAACAAAGTCGAAAACAGGGAGAAGGGGGATGCGCGAGCGCTCGGGAGGCTGAGTCCGGCGAGGCGCGCGGGTCGGGTTGGGTCGGGTCGGGACCAGTCGGTTCGCCAGAAGTCTCCTGACTGAAGTCCACTTCCACTTTCACACGAGAAGAGCGAACTTTGTGTGCTGTGGTGTTGCTATTTTGACTGGACGTGCCCTGTGAGTTCCCGAAGACGCGGTCGCTGCCTTCGCCTCAGCGGAATACAGTGCAGTGGCTCTTGTTTTCATCAATGATCGCTATTCATTGTAGGATTAGTTTTAATTCCAGAATACTTTCGCTGGGGTGTTTTAAAACTTGATCCAAAAAGCAAACGACAGTCAACGGTGGCTCTTCAATATATATTTATTGGACTCTGAACAGTGACTTCGCTTTCGGGACTTATCGAAGTTTCAGTTTCAGAAGAACTGGTTTCAGTTGCGTCTTTAAACGAAAAATATTTTTTAAAGATAGATATATTCAGAAATAAAAAAAAATCCTCTGTCATATTTACTATTAGAAAGTAGCCTCGCCCGGGTCCGCAGGCTGCCTCAGGTCGGTGTCCCGGCCGGGAGTCATGCGGTGACACCCAGAGGAGCAGCCAGCGGAACCAGCTCGGGGGACCCGCTGCAGGAGATCCGGGGAGTCGGGGGAGACCGCATCCTTCCCAGGCGGGGCGACAAGAAGGCGCTGCGATGCTGCGGGATCTGTGCGGGGGCGCGGTGCTTCTGGCGCTGGTGCTCTCATCACTGTGGACACGGGGCGGCGCCGAAACGCAGAAGGGTGAGTGACCGCAACACAATACAGGTACAGAGAAAGTGAAATAACACTGGGAGG